CTATGACCCTAAAACCGTCCCTACCACGGGGATGGGGGGGGCCTCACATTCCCTTCTCCACACCAGCACCTCTGCTCCCACCCCCTGAGACCTCCCAGCACCCCCCAGATGCCCCCAGAAAAACCCCAAAGCCCTCCCAGCCCTGCAGCTGTGTTTCTCGGGGGAAACATGGAGGCAAGTGGCGATTTTAATTCACTCAAGCACCCAGGATGCTCTCCTCGGAGTACATTTTCACCTTTGGGTGCCTAAGGGCAGGGTGGGGTGATCTGGGGGTGCCTATGGGGGGGCCCCAGGACTGGGCCCAGGGGCTGCTTTCACAGGGAGTTACACCAAGCTGGGACCTCCAGCAGCTCTGGCCCAGAGGGGAGAGGACCCCAGCCCCAGCCCAGGAGGGCCCCAGCTCACCCCAAGCACCCACAGCAGCAAAGCCCAGCAGGACCCAACCCCCCAGAGCTCCTGGGGAACCCCCATTCCCCTCCCACACACTGGGAGCCAGCAGCAAACTGCAACCACCTCCCCACAAAACACCCCTCTGCTCCCAAGGGGAGGGCACAGGAAATGAAGCCCCCACTAATGAAGCCCTGATGGGGAGCAGATGTGGGGGCAGCTGGGCAAAGCCAGGCAGCTGCCAGCTGGGCTGCATGATGAAGGTCCCGGCCACCACCATCCCGGCCATCCCCGAGACCCCAGCCCCACACAGCACCAGTAATCCTACCTGTGATCCCTGAATTACATCTCTTTTTTGTCTGTTTACTTTACAAGCGACACCAACAGAGAGCTTCCTGCAATACATGTGGGGCAGGGAGGGGAAAGGATGCCAAAGAAACGTCTTGAAAGGGCTCTTTTTTGCATTTTTATATAAACAGGAGGTTTCTAACAGATACATTTTAATACAGTAAAGATTTGCCAATCTGCCACCATCTAGTTATTTCTCTCAGACTTTCTAACAGAAATGTAACAGCACCCGAAGCAGTCACTCTATAAAAAGCCCCATTTTGGTCCAGAACATGAAACAGGACATAGCCCACAGCCCACACCCCATAGTCCATAACCCACAATCCCCTTCCCTTGGGGTCCTGGGATGTGTGAGGGCTCTGTCACCGTTTGGTCCCCCAGTCCCCGGTGTGGCAGCACCGTCCCCTGGACCACACCAGGGCCGCCCACCCTCAGGGCCAGGCCTTGGCCTTCCTGAAGGCGCGGATCTCCTCGGGGCTCCGCAGGTACTGCTCGATTTCGCTGTCGGAGATGGGCTCGTCACCGGTGATGGCCGAGTCCGAAGCGCTCGGCGCTGCCGTCCGCAGTCTCTTCCTGGGGTTGAGGACGCAGGGCGGCAGCAAGGGCCTCGGGCCACCCTCACGCTGGCGTTTCCCCTCCGAGGGATTGCTCTGCTCCTGCGCTGCCTCTCCTGCGGCCGGAGGAGAGCCAGGGGGGCACTCCCCCGGGGCTGCAGCGCTCTGCTTCTCCCCGTCCTCCTCCTCCAGGCAGAAGGCGTTT